TTATTTAATTTGATTTTAGAACTGCCTATATTTATCATGGTTTTTATTATCGCCTGTTCACCGCCCTGAGTCCCGTAAGGGAGATAGGGCGGTATATAAATTCAATAAGTAAATAAAATAAATAAATAGCTGGCTTTCATGGCTAAGGCAGGACTAGAATTCACCATCTCCTGGTGATTGGCCCAAAGTCAGCCAACCAGTTTTCATGCCTAAGGTGAAACTAGAACTCTCCATCTTCTGGTAATTGGCCCCAAATCCCCCAGCTAGCTTTCATGCCTAAAGCTTACTGTCTCCTGGATATGTCAAGTGAGGATCTTGTGATGGGTCTTGTGATGGGACAGGTGCGAGTCATCAGTGTAAGGCTTGTGATGGGTCTTGTGATGGGGAGGTTACATCAGGTGAGAGTCATTGGGAGGTGAACTGCTGGTGGGGGGGGCTTGCGTGGGATGGTTGAGTGTCGGTGCCGTCTCTGGTTGGCTGTGCTGTTGATTTGGATTCTGAGGGCTTCGTAGGCTGGTTGTGGGTCAATGGGTCTGTTGATGGAACTGCTTGTGCGGGGCCAGGCTTCATGATTTTGCGTGGCCGATGATTTTTGTGTTGCTCCCATTGAACATGTTGTCAATGTGGGTGGAGACAAAGGATTTGGGATTGTGGCGTTTGATTGTTTATAAGTGATAGCAGAGGTGTGTTGGCAGAACACTCAAATGTACATGTGCTGTTTAACAGATAATGCCATGTCATTGGGCTGGCCAAAGGATCTACAATGAATGATTGACAGTCTGATGCAATGAAGAGGAAGGATCGTAAAACGGACGTATCAAAGTCCAAGGCAGTTAGTATTTCGCAGGAAGAATGGTGTGAATGACTGCAAGTTATACACAAATTGCAAAATGAAAAAGAAAAAAAAACCCACCTAAGATAAAGTAAGTAAGTAAATAAGTAAGTAAATAAGTGCAAGGATCGCTTGTCATAACTTTGAGCGGCCACTAAACAAACAGTCATAAATTAAGGACTACATGTGAAAGGAATTCTTTGACGGTAGAGCAGACAAATTCAGAAAAGGGATTTAAGCAGAAGGTAGAGGACCATCCCTCAGACATGGGATGGTTGCAAAAGTCTTGGGCTAAGGAGGGGTTGGGCTAAATGATCTCTAGAACCCACCAGCATTTTGCTACAGATACACAGACCCAAACAAAGTTGATTTTGACAACTCTACCGAAATCCAAATCTTTTTTTTCCCACTAATAGATCACAGAATAGGCTGTAGTGCAAAACTAGAGTACAGGCAGTCCTCAACTTACAACCATTCATTTAGTGACCATTCAAAGTTAAAACAGCCCTGAAAAACGTGATTTATAATCTTTTTCACACGACCGTGGCAGCATCCCCACAATCACATGATCAAAATTCGGACGCTTGGCAACTGGCATGTATTTATGACAGTTGCAGTCTCCCCGGGTCACGTGATCCCCTTTTTGCGACCTTCTGACAAGCAAAATCAATGGGGAAGCCAGGTTCACTTAACAATCATGTTACTAGCTTAACACCTGCAGGGGTTCACTTAACAACTGTGGCAAGAAAGGATGTAGAATGAGGCAAAACTCTCTTAACAACTGTCTTGCTAAAATTTTGGCCTCAGTTGTGTTCGTAAGTCAAGGACTACCTCAGGGATAGGCAACCTTGGCTCTTTTATGACTCGTGGACTTCAACTCCCAGAATTCCTGAGCCAGCATGGCTCAGCATGGAAACCTCTCCATTTCTCCTCAGCATGACTGACTCAGGAATTCTGGGAGTTGAAGTCCACGAGTCATAAAAGAGCCAAGGTTGCCTACCCCTGGACTACCTAAATCTCTTCTTCAGCTGTACTTACACCCTACAATTTCCAAGTACAAGGATCAACCCCCCTTTAATCCTTCAGGATCCTTGTTTATATCCTCCTGGTTCTCTGCGAAAGAGTTAGCACGATGGATCCTCACTCATCCTCCCGTCAGGCCTTCCCTCTGCATCAAACTCTTACGAGAACAACCACAATTATTCACACTGCACCTTCCTCGTACGCTGTAAATGGCACCTTTGATCCATCCATATCACTGATACACCCATCGCTTGTGGTGCTTTTAACAGAGATTGCTTTTTGGACTACAGATAGTCCTCGACGTACGACCGCAATGGAGGCCA